AGCTTAACTGGGTGTCCTGTATTTTGATATGCTAAATCCAGCAGTCCTATTTGAGAAGGGGAAGCTAGGCAGAAGGAAAAAGAGACAGAGATTGTGGGCAATAAAATTAAGTAAATTGCTAGCAAAATGTGAAAGATAAAAAAAAAAAGTTGGGGTCTCATTTATGAATAACAGGGTCATCAATGTTTACCAAAAGAATGTGAAGGGTTTCCTAATCAAGCCTCCAAAATTTAGACTATTTCCTGTCACGGAGGGCAAGTGGGTCTCCCCCATCAGTGTGTCCCGGGTGCCTCTCAGCACCAAACCCCAGGCCTTGCAGAGGGAGGTGGAGGTCAGCATTAGAACGCTGGTGTTCATGTTCCTCTCTGTCCAGTCCCTACCTTCTCAGAGGTCAACCCCTAATTCTGAGAGAGCCTATACAACCCAGTCCTGCCCTCGATTCACAGGATCCTACTAAGCACTGGGCACGAGGTAAACATGAGCAGGACCAGGACCCAGGGAAAGCACTCAATGTATGTAAGTGTTGAGTGAATACCTGAACCAACCCTTTCTCTTCAGAGGCCTGTTTTCCCCTCCCCACCCTACCCCCATTCTTTTATCATCTCTGTTTTCCTCGTAAAAACTCCTTAGCTTCCCTCCACCTTGTGCTCTAATAAAACCCGCACCTTGACCCAGATGAATGAATAAATGTTGGGCCATGTGGACGGGATGAAATTTTGTTTATGGGCCCGCCTGAAACTGCGTGCTCTTCAGAGGCAACAACCACGTCCCGCTTGTCTTCAAGAGCTTCTGATCTCCCTTGACGTATTATGGTGACTTCGGTCACTTGGGGAGGGGGGGCTGCCCCGTGGTAGCTGTGTGTGAGAAATCATCTTTAAAAAGGAATCCTGTGCAGATGGGTAAGTAGGGACTATGCCCAGCATACGGCCCGACTCGGCCCATGTTAAGTTTAGGTTCTGTCCAGGAAGGAGCTAGCCCGTGACATCAGATAGGGGGAGGAAGTTTGTCCCTGGGAGGGGCCCCTCACCATGGAGTCATGGAGACAGGAATGCTCACGCGGCTGGGGGGCTGCGCAAATGTGGCGCCCCCCACCCCAGCCTTGGCCACGCCCTCTACTTCTTCACTCCCTTGCCACCGTGAGTCTGGCCAAAGCTTGCTGAATGACCATGTCCATTTAAAGGAACAAGGTGTCCCCGCATTGTTTGTGATTCAGGAGTTCCTACTGTTTTCGTTCTCCCGGTGTAAATGTATCGGCTTATTGAATGAGACACATCAGTTAGCGCACTGATGTGGGAAGATTTCCATTGAGAGCCACAGGACAGCGAGGTCACAAAATCCTTTCACTCCCAGGGACTTTTTAAAAATCTAATTCGTTCTCTGCTCCCCTCGATGCCTTGTCTGTGACAGGTACTTAGCAGATATTAGCTGAATGACTGCATGAATAAATGAATGAGCGAATGGCGGACGTTGAAATCTTCTTAGACGCATGAAGAATGGAACTTGAGACCGGGCCACATGCCACTGTGGGAAAAGCCCCAGAGCGGTCACAGCTTTACCACATACTGGTCTTGTGATTAGGTCAAGTCACTTAAACTCCATGACCTTCAGCTTCTGAGGCTATAAACAGAAATAATCTCCCACCTTAATAAGTGGTTTTGAGAATCAAGTGAGATTTCATATCTGAAAGTGGCTGTTATGTGGATCTAAGATCATCAGATAGGATTCAAAACCCAGTTCTCTCTACCTTCAGCTATGGGATCTTGCTCAAGTGAATTAACCTACGCAGGCATCAGTCTTCTCATCTACAAAATGGGAATAACAATCATACCAACTTCACTGAATTGTCATTAAACTTAAATGAGACTGCATGTACTTGAACGACTACACAGACGTGGTTAAGCCCATGGTAGTCTCTCTTCTTTGGGTTCCCATTCTCTGTATACTTTCTAAATGGGTCATTATTCCGCGTTGCTCAGACTTATTCTCTGCCAATCCACCAGCTGGTAAGTAAATTAATTAGGGGATAAGTGATTCCTTTTTATTATTATTATTATTTTGATGGTGATGATTAAAACAGGCGGCCGTCTGATTGGCCACAGGTCATGGAAGCAAAGCAGCCGCAGTGGTATCTCAGGATTGTTTCCTTATGAAGAACCTGCCACCCAGGTGTTTCCTCATCTTAGGACCCACCCTCTAGGTTTCCTCAAATTGTGTCTTTCAGAGAAGACCCACCCACTGGAGTTCAGATGCGAAGGAACTGACCCTGGTGTGCGTGAGGAAGTACTTCACTGATGATGACGCTGGCCACTCTTTCAGGGCAACTCGGTCCCCTCTCCCCTGGCCCCTCCTCACCCCCAAATCCTCAGGCAAAAGCAGAAGAAGTAAGCAAGATTTCCACTAGAAGCAACCATTAACCTAGTCTTCATTGTCTCTAAGACCTGCCTGGCTACACCAGAGAGGAATCTGGGTGGGTTTTTTGTTTTGTTTTGTTTCTCATTTTTTAAAAGAAAATCATTTTAAGACTCCTGAACAATGTGCTGATTTACACTAGTCCTCTCTCTTCTTAAGCCACCATATCAACTTACTGATTCTCTTGTTCTGTTTGGTAGATGCGCCCCCTTTGAAAGACACTGCAAAAGGTACTTTATCTGCCACTGCCAGGTTTCAAGCCCTCACCATAGAAAACCCCAGAGCAGGTTACGCCAAGAGTCCCGTACCCCTCTGTGCTAGTGACAACACGCTGGGACCTCTAATCCCAAAACCCTGGGTCAAGGTCTCCTGGCCCTTATCACTTGTTTTCACTGAGGCTAAACGCATCTGTTCGGTATGTGAATAGATTTTTTAACTCCTTTCACAAAGTCTAGTGCTTGAGACAAAATCAGCCCAGGCTCTGCACTTTGTCATTATTTCAGCAACTCTCTTGCTTGATATTAAAAATAGCTTTGTCTGGTCCATCGAGATCAGACCCAGGAGACAGGCGCCTGCTATTCTAATCTCGGCTTCACAAATAGCTCTCTATGGGCTCAAGCATCTATCAACACTTCCAGGGGTCTCCAGTCATAAAACAGGGCCAGACCTTGGTACCTATAAAGGTAGGCTCGACTTGACTCTCCTGAGCCATCCAGGAAGTCAATGTGAGGCCTACACAGTCCTGTTCCCACCATGGACCACCAACTGTGGCTTGAAACTGGGAAGCAGTTAAGAGCATCCCCCACACTTCGGGTATCCTGCATTTCCCAGGCCAGCACCTACAAAAGCTTCCCTCAAACAACGCTGGTAAATAGGCTGCCCATCCCCCCCTTCCCCTCACTTCCCCCCATGCCGCCCCCCCCCAACCCCTACCCCCAAGCCCATCGTGTACTCTGTGAAAGACCATAGACCCTGCCGTTGCCAAGGGAACCAAGCCTTTTATTCCAACCCAGTGACTGGCTGGTTGAGGCTGAGGAGTGGGGTAACAACTGGTGCCCAGGCCTTTGGAAGCCCCCACTGGACCCCCCCCCTTTTTCTCAAAGGGGGAGGGGTGGATGCACCCCCAGTGCCTTTTCACCCAACCCCAGCTGGTTGCGACAGAGCCCTTGGGCTCTCAGGAGCTTCCTGGCTGCGAGCTCGGGGAGATCAGTGCTCCCCAGGCCCTCCTCTGGCCCTGGCCCTTTCCAGAGGACAATAGCCTCCATGCAAGGGAAAATTCCATCGCCCAGGGTTCAAGTCTCCAAGGAGTTGCTGGGGCCTCTGTTTAGCCTGGAGTGGGCTGTGAGGAGCCGCTGCAGCTGCCCGGCTTGTTTTCCCCCTTGCTGTGTTTTATTTTTAACCCCTGAGCTGCCAAGGATTGTTTTTCCCCAGTCAGTGCCTGGGAACTGAGAGAGGAAAGAAATAAGGCTTTGTTCCCTTTGGGGAACTAATTGGGAGAGACAGGCGTTATGGCCAGCTCAGCCCCATTAGGGTGTGAGGCTCCCACCCCTGCACACACATGGTGCCCCCCAGCCCATGCCCAGGAGGCTGGGAGAGGGGGTGCCTCGACCAAGGCCCCGGGGCTAGGGCAGAAGCAAGCACAATTTCAAGGCCACGGAAGCAGCCAAGAATTCAGAAGACATTCAGGACTAGAGGGATATTGGGAACTGGAAATGTCTACTCTTTCCCATTTCAAACTCCCAAACCAACTCCTGATTTTCTCTCTCTGCTCCCTCTCCCCAGATCTGCATAAGGAACTCATGGAAGGAAAGTGAGGGACCTCAGAGAAAGTGAAAAAAAGGAAAATCAGGACATGATGCCTTTAAACACTAGGTTAATAAATGGGAAACACCTAGCAGTCCCACTTTGAAGTTTACCAAAAATTCTTTTTACTCAGGAATTTAGCGTCATGGCAAATCAGTTCAAAATCAATGAAAATTTGGCCCATTGTCATTTTGTTTTAATATGGAATGGATCCCAAGTAGGGATCCATAAAAGAATTTTAGGCTTATTTTGATCCCCTTTAGAAACAGAGCACATTTTTTTTCTTTTTCTTGGGGATGGGGTCATAATTACTTGTATTTATTGAATACCAGCTTTGTGCCACATGGGGGCAGGGGGTCCCAGTTCCACTGAGATATAATTGACATCAGAGCAAATTTCTAAGAGCTCATCAACCCCCTCCACTTACAGCAAGCCAACTAAGATGCATCCAGGTACATTCGAAAAGGCATAGCTCATCTTAGCCACCAAAAGTAGTTGAGAAAAGAAAAGGCTCTGATTACACAGCAGGACCCAAGCCAGGCCTACGCGTTGGCTAGACGCAGTGGGGGGTCTGCAAAGGGTGTCTCTGTACCTGGGCCACACCTACTTCACTCCCCAACGGAGTGTCCCTGACCCTGCTGTGTGGGCTGTTGGGCAAGAAGACAGAGTCAAAAGGTTCATGCTGACATTGGAGGAATGCAGACTGGTGCCTAATGCATAGACACATGCAACAGAAATAACAATTTTATTAAAACTTCAGCCTTGTTACCTTCACACATGCAGCCACGGCGCTGGCTTCCCCTGTTAAATCCTGCTGACTCAGGGTCCCACATTGTCGGTGACCTAGCCTTCCTCCAGTGTAGCAAGACTACATTTTCAGGAAGCTGTTAGGCAGAATGAAGCAACTCGCTGCTCAGGAAGAGTCTCAGGCCTGATAGAGGTGGGGTTTAGCCATCCCCCAGGAATTTCCCAGCACACAAAGGCCTTGGGAGTGAGAGCAGCAGATGCAGGGGTGAGTCAAGCTGAGACCCTGCGCCCCTAAGCCTGGCCAAGACTCCCCGCACATCCTCCCACACTCCCTGTGTGCGTCAGGTCCGAGTACATGGAGCCCCAGATCCTGCACCTCAGTCTGTAATCTCCATAACAAGATCTGTGGCCACCCCGGGATGGCGCCAGGGCCCACCACACCACTCACTCAATGTCTTTGAGGAGCGGATGCTGCTCACAGGCCTGAACCAGGCCATCTCAGACCTGGGCTTCCTGCCACACAGCCTGTCTGGATAGGCACCACCCCCACTCAGCCCCCAGCAGTATTGACTGTGCATTTGGACCATCCGTATTTTTCTTTTTTTTTTTTTCAGCTCTTTTTTTTTTATTTGAGACAGAGAGAATGAGAGACAGAGAGCATGAGAGGGAGGAGGGTCAGAGGGAGAAGCAGACTCCCCGCAGAGCAGGGAGCCCGATGCGGGACTCGATCCCGAGACTCCAGGATCATGACCTGAGCCGAAGGCAGTCGCTTAACCAACTGAGCCACCCAGGCACCCTTTTTCAGCTCTTCTTAAGACAAACTACTGGCCATTGAAGGACTAGCCAAGGATAAGACCTCAATGCGGCCATTTTCACAACAAAGCCCACAGTTGGTGCCAAATCCTTCACTCGAATAGAAAGGAAATCTAACCAACCCATCAGACTAATAACTAACATTACAGAGGGGTGGCAGATCAAGACTGTCCTGGACGCCTTCTGTGTTTTAACGTATTTTCATCTCCTCATAAGCTATACTATTGTTTTTCTAATGTATGGCTGAGGAAAGCGAAGCGAGGTTGCAAAGCAGGTGATCCCAAGGACAGCCACGACGGCCTCCTCAAGGAAGCCCCATCAGGAGGCCTGAACTGTGTGCCCAGGGCCCCTCCTGGCAAGCCCGTGTCCCCCCACTGCAGCATCACCTGGCTTCTAGACAGGAAGAAAGATGCAGGGGGCCCTTCCAGAAGCTAAAGGAGATGGGCGTGTGGTTTAACTGGGTAAATGTGGCTGCAGGGCCAGGAGACACGGGGTCCCATCTGCCTCGGCCTTTATCCAGGGGAGCACCCCCAACTGTTCTGGCTCCTAAGCTGCACGCCCCTCCTCAGTCAGCCACGAGGCCTCCCGGCCCTCCCAGGCTCCCATCCGTCCTCAGACATTATGAAGAACGGGGACAGTCAGCACGTGTCGGCATGAGGACGGCCCCAGACAGCGCCAACCTGACAAATAACCACTCGCCTCACACGTGAGCCTTACGGTGCACTTTTCAGTGTTTTGGGAACTATGTGTTCTTTTGAAATGTGTCTATTTGGGCCATGAGTAAGTACTGGGGGAGAGGGAACGGGTGCCTTTTTCCAGTTAATGAAGAGGGTTTCATGGAAGAAGAAGATTTTCTTAGTCACATTTCCTGTTTCACAGTGACCTTTTAAAAGGAAACCCACAAATAAAGCCGTGCCAAGGCCTGCTTACAGGATCTACCCACAGGTATAATAGAGATGATCTAAATAAAGACCACAGTGGGCCAAGCTTACCCTGAATCAGTGGAAATAATAAGACACTAAAGAGACCTGATGGACTGAGGTCGAGGGGATGGTGGTGCTCTGTAAACTGCAAAAAACAACATCTAAGAGACTTGCCTGAGTGTTCGACAGGGACCCAAGCAAGAAAGCAGGGAAGCCACATGGCGATCTTTTCACTGGTCTCTGTGTACTTAGGGCTTAGCCTCTTGTTATGTAACAGAGGCTCAAGAAATTGAGAGATGCTCAGAGTGATTTCAAAAGAAGCGTAATGACTGGGTTGTAAAATTAGTTATGGGAAACAAGATTATTTAGCCTGGCAAGGAAAGAACCGAGAGATCACTGGAGAAGTGTAAAGTTGGCCAGCCCTGGTCATTCGACAGAAATTGGCAGAGGTGCATTTCTACAGCTGCTGAGCGCAGGTGGACAGGCCCAGACAGGAGTGTCCACGTGGAATGTTCAAGAACGTCCTGGAGATGACTGGAGTGTGGGGCAGGTTACCATGGCCAGGGACAGCCTCACCTTCTCCAGGAGAGTCGGGCAATCAGATTTCAGAGGCTGAATCCTGAAGGAATAAAGGAGACCAATTACCATCAACGTTTACATCTAGTCAAGGACAGTTCCACAGAGATTTTAGGCTTGGAAAGCTTTGTTTGTTCTGCTTTAAAGCAGGAGGTCTGGAATTAGGCTCAGATAAAAAAAAAAACAGGCAAAGGAAGCAATGAGAACGTTAGCAAAAATGGAGCGGGGAGGAGGGGGAGAAGATGGTAGCCAATGACCCAGAGAGCACCTAAGAGTTAGAGGGTTTGGGTTGGTTGGAGTTTTTGTCAACAGTGAAAAAGGACATCTTATTTTATTTTTTGGATAGGTAATATAATCACATGGTCAGAAATAAAAACATAGAGGGGCGCCTGGTGTCTCAGTTGGTCAAGCGTCCGACTCTTGATTTCGGCTCAGGTCATGATCTTAGGGTCGTGAGATGGAGCCTCAAGTCTGGCTCTGCACTGGGTGTGGTGTCTGCTTAAGATTCTCTCTCCCTCTCCCTCTGCCCTTCCTCCCCCTCTCTCTCTCCCTCTCTAAAAAAAGAAAAAAGAAAAAAAGAAGTAAAGGCATAGAAGGTGATAGGTCATGCCTCACTCCTATCCTGTCCCTCATCTGTCCAGTTTTTATGCCCACATCCTTATCTTTATTCATTTCTTACATATTTTGCTTGTGTAGTTACAAGCAAATATGATTACAGATAATTGCCCTTTACATTCTTTTTTTTTTTTTTTTCCACTCAGGTAACATAAGAGCATATATACATGGTATTGTGCTCCAGGCTTTTTCACCCAACAAAATATTCCAGAATTCTTACCCTATCAGTAGGTAGGGAGCTTTCGGATGCTTTCTGCACAGGGAGAGAGAGCGAGAGCCCTGAGGTGTTTCTGACTGGAATACCTCAGAGTTTCTTCCCAGCCAGCTTCCATGTCTCTCTCCCATCCAACTCCATACCTAGAATTTTCACCCAAACCCAGAGTTATTTTGAAATCCTCTGCCCGTCTCAAGTCTTCCTCAACCTTCTGTCCACCCCAGGAGATTTTGCGCTCAGGTACCATATCCAGCAAGGTCCCTGTAAAACTTAAAACAGTCTGTTTGACAGAGAAGATAATGATGTTGCGAAGAGAGAACTGTCAGGCCTCCATGTCCCAGAGAGTCCCCGGACCTTTGCCACCAGCATGGCCCCTCCGCTGCCAGACACAACTTCAGGTGGCCCCTCACTGCGGGACTCTGTGCCACAAAAGCCGATGCCCGGGGCCACGCTAATCGTGAGGAAACCCCCCCAGGCTGCCCCTCCACCTCAGTGTTTCCTCAGTGCCCACCTCAGTCCTGTCAGACCTGGCTGCCCTCTTCCCACGCCTGACGTCCCAGACGGAGAGCCTCATTTCCTGCCCTCCTCCAACCCCGGCCAGCCTGGAAGCTGAGCCCCGAGGATGCAGTCTTGGGGATCCGGAGGCACTCTCTGCCCAGTCCCAGTCAGGTGAGGCCTGAGAGCTGGTCAGATGGTGTCCACAGAGCCTGTGCCCCTCAGCAGGGCATGGGTGGGACGTAGGGAAGGCAAGGCAAGGTAGAACTCGGCTGGGCCATCATGCCGCAGCTCGCATCTCCCATGTGGTTATTCCCGGGGCCCTTACTCGTCAGGACCACCCCTCAACAGCTTCGTGTTCCCAGGGGGTCTCCACTTGCTGGTCCATGACTTTGAAAGGTGGCCTTTCAAAGGTGGCAGTGGGTCCTGAGTTTAGGGTCAGGCAGACGTGGGTTTGTGTCCCAGCTCTGCCCCTAACAAACAATATGACCTGCCCATTAACCTCTCAGAGTTTGAGCTTCCTTATCTACAAAATGGGAATAATACCGGTTCCAGAGGATCACTAGGAGAATTAAACTAAGGTGGTTCTGTGAAAAGTCAGTCTGGCATAATCACCTGCTCAGAGAGCGGTCACCCTCATCTCTCTTCTGCCTGCCCTGCAGAGCCCAGGCCCCCAGCGCTGGTGACGGGTGAGCCCCAGGCCATGGGCACAGGCTGGCTTTGAAGAGCCTCGCACAGGTGGCCAAGTAAGTTGGCAATCTCAGGATGGGCCTCTCCATCCTAAATTTCAAGGGACAGAAAAGGCCCTTCTGCTCCTTGCTTGGTGTCCCCAAAAGCATCTTCACTGCCCAAATCCATGAGGCTCAGAAGGCAATCTAGAGGGGGCCTCGCCTTCCAGACACAGTCACTGCCTGCTCAGCAGCCTCTTTTTTTCTACAGCCCTGACATGCAGGCCTGGAGGAGGATCAAGCCTGGCTACGACATGGCCTCTTAATAAGCTCTGACAGGGAGCTAGAGGCCATGCTCCACTTGCACCCATGTTATCTCTCCTCTGTCGAGCCACCCAGAGGTCGTACGCTGGCAGGGTCCTCACCCTTCCCAGGCCCTGCACCCAGACCAGACCCTGCCTATGTGCCACAGTGCTCATATCCCAGCATGCTTAGACACAGTGGCCCCAGGAATTCATCCCCATCCCGGGTCCTCCCTACCCCAGCCTTTTCAGCAGCATCGTGAAGTGAGATGGGGACCCACAGCAATCTAATGCATGAGCGCTGCCAGGGTTTGCCAAGGGAAGGGGTCAGGAGGACCCCCGGCCTAGCCATCCCCCCAAGGGGTCACTCCAACGTGCTGTGTGTCCAGTCTGTAAGTGGACTGGATGGTGGGGGGGCCCCTAAAGAATCTGAACAGCATACATTCCTGTGAAGCCCAGCCATTTTTGTCCTTGGGTTCCTGCTTTGTATACTTAGAAGTTAGCTTAGCTTAACCAATTCTGTACCATTTTAGGATCTGCAAGGAGGATTGGCAATGCAAGATTCTAACTGGACAGATCCATTAGACTTCTGAGTTCTGCAGGGTAAGGTATGGGGTAAACCCACCCCAGGGTCCAGCACCTTTTACAACTTTCCTGCCATAACCCTTGAGACCTTCTCTGACACGACCCTCCCCACTTACCAGTGTCATCTTGAATCACTCACTCCTGTGCGCCACCCACAGGACCCCCCCCTCAGTTACTCCAAGTGTTCCCTCTTACCCTGGATCATCAACCCTCCATTCACCCAGCTAACGCCTGATCCACCCTCTATGTATACATTTGGATTTTAAAATGTAAGTGCAGGGGGCACCTGGGTGACTCAGTTGTTGGGCGTCTGCCTTCGGCTCAGGTCATGATCTCAAGGTCCTGGGATCGAGACCCACATCGGGCTCCCTGCTCTGTGGGAAGCCTGCTTCTCCCTCTTCTACTCCCCCTGCTTGTGTTCCCTCTCTTGCTGTGTCTCTCTCTGTCAAATAAATAAATAAAATCTTTTTAAAAAATAAAATAATAAAATAAATAAATAAAATGTAAGTGCAGGGTTTAGGTTCATTTTAGCCAGTTGAGATCTTTCAGGATGCTGACCCCAGCCCCCGGTGTCCTGCCTGCATATCTCAATGTGCGATGCTCACAATTTTCAAATGATCCTTCTGTGGTTTTTATCACTCCTGCTGTCGTGGCTCCCTGTAAGTCACCATTAAAGAGATTGGATAGGAAGGGGTCCTGCAGCCCACTACCAGAGACTTCCCTCCTAGAAGCTGACAATGATCCGCTCATCTTCATGCTAATCGCAGAAGGACACAGTGGTTTTCCAGTTTGCTATGGAGCAAACCACCTCAAACTTGGTGATATAAGACACCAACCATTTTATTATGCTCACAAATCCTGTGAGTCAGGAATTTGGACAGAACATATTCAGAGATGGCTTTTCTCGGCTCCATGTCTAGGGCTCCAGCTGGGAAAAGTCAACTACAGGGGGAGGAAGGGTGACCTGAACAGTTGGGGGCTAGAGTTATCTAAAGGTTTCTTTGGGAGGGTAGGGGGATGAGAGAAATAGGTGAAGGGGATTAAAAGGTACAAACTTCCAGTTATCAAATAAGTAGGCCACACAGAAGAAAGTACAGCATAGAGAATATAGTCAATAATATTGTAATAACTTTGTATGGTAGCTACACTTATCATGGTAAGCATTTCATAATGTATATAATTGTCAGATCACTACGTTGTACACCTGAAAGTAATATATCATATGTCAACTATACTTAAATTAAAAATTTTTAATGTTTCTAATAAATTAAACAAAATATCAATAAAAAATCAAAGCGACTTATATACCAAGGAAGGAAGGCAGGTTTCTTTGTTCACACATCTTGTACCAGCGTTGGGATGACCCACAGGCTGGACTCAGCTACAGCTGCTCCACGTAGACCTACATGTGGCTTCTCCATGTGGCTTGGGTGTCTCATGGCATGGCAGCTGATCTCCAAGAGCAAGTATTCTAAGAGAAGCAGGCAGAAGCTGTGGGACCTTTTATGAACCACACCTTGGAAGTCACAGAGTATCCCTTTTTCCATACTCTACTGATCAAAGCCCTCACAAGACTATCAGATTCAAGGGGAGGAGCACAGATCCCGCCTCCGGATGGAAGTAATGTCAAAGAACTTGAGCACAGACGCAGCAGCACTGGAAGCCTACACCCAGCTACAGAAGTACTTAGAGTCCATACTCTCTCACCAAGCCAGGGCCCACAGTCTAGCCAGCAGGCTACTCAACGGTGATAAGTAATCGAGGAGAAGCAATATTCCAAAACCTCTGACATTCCTGCAGAGAGGAACATAGGCCAGGCTACCACGATAAGAACCCTATAATAAAGCAGAGATTCAAGGTGGATACTGAGTCTCCTGGAAAAGGCAGAATCCCAGTGATCGCAACTGGGACGTGCACAGAGTCAGACCAGCAGCATGTGACATGATGCTATCACATGGGTTCAGCTGAGCACCTTCAGTTCCTCTCCTGAGAATGCATGGGAGTTTATGGCATGCCTGTGCTGAAACTTAAAAATATTTCTATGGCCCATTCCTGATCTGACAACTCAGACATTGTATCAGAAAAGGGAAGGGGACCAAGGTTCGTTCCTGGTGAACCCATGCAAGCTTCTAGTGATCACCACGCCTTTTAGATTTTTTTTTTA